ATGATAATTCAATATTATGGAGTAGAAATGATAACAAGTGACTTACCTCAAGATTTCCCATGATTTCTTGCTCAAAAATCGCCCCAAGCCGTGTTCTTTCACAAGAAAAACGTGAAAATGAGCTAAAAACAGAACAACACTAATAAAGCCCATTCTGGTCGCTAAAAGACCTTTCCGGTCGCTAAAAGTGCCAAATCTGGTCGCTAAAGGTGCACACCAGAACCTTCTGCACCAGCAATATTTATTTTCACTAAAAAGGCTCTAACTCCACCATACGAACTCTGAATTCGATGATTCTTGTTCCTATGAGTCATAAATAATGATACAAACATAGTACTTCAATCGAAACTCAATTCGGAGCTTGTTTGCTCAGTGCGATATCCATTTCGCTCGTTAAACATTTAACATATGTTTCGAGTCAAAAACCCAATCGCGCCTTGATGAAATTAGACCAAACTTTCCAGATCAGTCCTATAATTCATTATCAAAATTCCTGAAGTCTCGAAATCAAATTTCAATCTATAGAACTAAAATGGACCTTTGGATCATTACGTGTTTATGCTCAAAACGACAAAAATCTTTCAAAAACTCTTCCAAAACTTATCCGAGCCTCATGTGACCCCGACCAAACATGCCAACACACCCAATAACATCATTAAAACTTTTTTCAATCAACACAACACCTCAAACAACATCAAAACCATCAATTCACATCGAATTCAAGCCTAAGTTTTCCAAAAACTTCCGAAACACGCATTTGATCAAAAACCCGGCCAAATCACCTTCGAATGAAATGAAATTTTGTACACACATCCAAAATCACATAATGAAGCTATAGAAACTTTCGGAATTCCATTCCGACCCTTGAATCAAAATCTCACCTATCAACCAGAAATCGCTAAAATACTACTTTCGCCAATTCAAGCCAAATTCTACATCGGACCTCCAAAACCAATTTTGATCGCGCTCCTAAGTCATAAATCACCTAATGGAGCTAGATAAATCATAAAAATTCCGATCCAAGATCATTTACACATAAGTCAACTCTTGGTCAAACCTTTCAAATTCAAAGCTTTCAACTGAGACTATTCTTTCAAATTCATTCCGATTTTTCCTGAAAACTAAAACCAACGATCTACATCAGTCATAATACATAACACAGGGCAAGTCATGCCCGAGAACTGGCGATCAAAGCGCAAAAGCTCAAAACGACAGGTCGGGTCGTTACAGCGGTCGTGACTAAACAATGACATGTACGTATTGAGCGTAGTAGTGTATCTTTATGTTTCCCTTGTCATGTGTTTTCATTAGTGTACTGTTTGTGTTTTTTATGTGTATCTTTAGGTTTGCTATGTTTGTGTTTGTGTTGTATTGTTAAAATAAAATTATTGTTCAAATTCTGTTAAAATAAAATTGTTGTTAAAATACAATTGTTGCCATTATTTACATAATATAGTATTTACACAAAATACAAACAAAAATAAATCAATGAGCCCCGCAGCCTGTGTGATTCAATGCAGCCGCTGGCCTGAGTCGCATCCCCTATCGCCCGGGTATACTATCAGGATCATCATCAAGTCGCCTCTTTATGTGAGGATGCGCAGCAGCATCGACAGTACAACTAGCAGGATCGGTTGAAGGGGTCGTCGATCCATCAGCAAACTACAAAACGATTACTAAGCTAAGCATATGAAAATGTCTATTAGTAATGTACGTGTTAAGTCAAAAATATTTTCTCACCATGGTCTCGTCGGCCTCCTGAGTATAAGCATCTGTGGTGTCCTAATCATCGCATACAGTGGCCTCCGTGATGGGCTGAGACGAAGCCTTAATAAGAAAATAAAAAATTAATTTATGGCAAATCATTAAGGAAAAGAAAACAAATTGAAATTTTACAGTAATACAAACATACATGCGCCTGTGGTAGATCCGCATCAACTGCCGGGAATGTGGCATAAATCAACATGAGCCCGCCATCCATATCTCGGGTCAGCCGATCCTCAACTGCGGTAGATGGGCCTGAAAAGAACTGGTCTACATCTCCATCGAATGTACCCGTGATCAACAATGGATATGGGGTGACATGCGATGTTGGCAGAGACAGTTGAAGGTTGTGCGACGGCATGCTGCTGGAAGGCTCGTCTAGCTGAGGGAAATAACCCAGCTAATCATCTCTAAGATCCTCATCTCCAAGATCCTCATTAGGTTCCTCAACAGGTGGGTCGATAGGTGCCTCAACGCCCCCTTGCTGGGGACCACCTCCTCGCCGTCCCTCACGACCCCGTGGGGTACCCTTACCTCGTGGGGAAGCCCTGGCTTGTGCCCGACCCCTGCCTTATAGGACAGGCCTACCCCGATGGTGCTCCTTCGGCGCCACATACTCAGCCTCATGATCCAACCTCGCGCCCTCTCTGGCTCGCTGCATGGTCCGGAGAGCCAACTCTTCCACCCGCCGGCCATACTCAATGACTACAGCATTGTCGCCATGCTGCTGCATCTTCTATCCCAACTGGTAGAACATGTGATGCCCAATATCCTACACAACATTTAAAATATTAATTAAATATTGCTATATCACAATTATAAGACTTATCCCACAAAAAACATACCAGTGCCTCGTGCCTCCCAGCGTATGGTCTGAACCGATCGCTAGGTACATGAACGGGGCTCCCGATCATTAGTCGAGTGTGATGGCGGTACCATGACGTATAGAGCTCAATAGTCGCCCCTAGATCTGTGAAGGTGGTGGCAGAATCAAGTCCTCTCGCTGGTCCCAAATATGGACCTGCGCCTCTAGCCATCCTACAAATTCGGCGTCCACCCTAGAACGACCATCCCACTGATAGTGTGTAGCCACCCATGCAGGCTCCCTCGGTATAGTCTAGGGACGGTCAACTGGCAAAGTACACGCTCTATGGCATGATGCTCCACTACATCGAGGCACATCATCGAGACGGAAGTGCTCCAAAGTAGTCAGTCGACCGAGCAATAATCGGGCAGATCAGTTAGCAACTCGTTGCTGTATGTCGTCCAGATGAACTATCAAATAATAACATAAAAGTGAGTATGCGCAACACAAGTGAATTTATAACAAGTAAGTTTAGGCACATATTTACCTGTCCGGCCTCCAATATATCTAACACATCCTTGACAATGGGGAGATTATGATGAGCATCACTGCCTCGGTAGTTCCCACGCCAGAGAACCCACCTCGTAGCTAGAGGGAGAAATGGAGGTGCTACACCCGGCTCTAGTGGTGGTAGAGGTGGCTGTAACGGCAGGATCCGCTCCCAGGCCCAAACCTAAGATAAAACATTGATGTAAAATTTAAGAGTCATTTTGACTATATAGAATTCGAAGTAATGAATAGAGTATTCGAAAATGTTGTCACCTATATAAGCGGCAGAAAATCACATATGTACACCTGGGTGCCCATGCTAGCCCGACACATACTCATGTATAGGTATGCTAGAACAGCAGCACCCCAGCTGTACTGGAGTAACTCATCTAGTTGCTGCAGATGATGCAGAAAGCGCAGACTCACTAGATTTCCTAAAGTGTTCGGGAATAAGACACCCCCAAAAAGAAGGAACAACGCCAACCTCATATACCAGTGGATATGGAGATCCTCTGTCTCGCAGGTAATGTCGGGGTGCAATACCTCCATATGTTGTCTGATAGCTGTCACAGAAATGCGACTGCCCCCTCTAACTGCAGCCTCACCCTGTGGTCTGAAACCAGTATACTGCCCCAGCAAATCCAAATACTGGGGATGCGTCATAGCTCTCATATATTGGGGCAGTACATCGGCCAGTCCATCAACATGCAGCCCATATAAAATCTGAACATCCTGAAGCGTGATGGTGGTCTCTCCAGTGGGTAGGTGAAAAATGTACGTCTCTGGTCGCCACCGCTCTATCAACGCCGTGATGAGAGACCAGTCGAGCTGCATCCACCCAATCTCAAAAATCCTAAGGAAGCCCGTAGCACGCAGGCGATGGACTACGCAGGGATGTAAATCTCTCTCCCTCAAAAAGTCCCATAAGTCGTCCGGTCTCCTGGGGCGGAGAGTCTGATCCAATAGATGTCCCTCACATACATAGGCAGACCTATGGTCACCCTGTAATACTAATATCTGATCTGTGGCTAGTCCAGGATGCACATGCGGCAAGTCCATGTCGTCTACTGTAATTTAAACAATATTAATTATGTATTTGTGTTATAATAAATAAAATTAATTATTTAATTAGATAGAATAATTATCTATGGGTTTCAGTCTCGATATTTGAGGCCCAATAGTACCAAGCTATCCTTAATTATTATGTGTGTCAATTTCAATATTTTTAAAATTTTGTTAGTTTAATAAATTAAATAATTAATTATTTAATTGGATAGAGTAATTATCTATGGGTTCTAGGCTCGATATTTGAGGCCCAGTAGCACCAAGATATCCTTAATTATTATGTGTGTCAATTTTAATATTTTTAAAATTTTGTTAGTTTAATAAATTAAATAATTAATTTTTAATTGGATAGAGTAATTATCTATGGGTTCCAGACTCGATATTTGAGGCTCAGTAGCACCAAGCCTTCCTTAATTTTTTGTGTGTCAATTTCAATATTTTTAGAATTTTGTTAGTTTTATAAATTAAATAATTAATTTTTAATTGGACAGGATATACAACTATGAGTTCCATGCTCGATATTTAATTTGACAACATATATTAATTTGTTAGTTTTGTAAGTTTATTTTATAAATTAAATAATTAATTTTGTAAAGTGTAATTGGATAGAGTTTGTAGTTAATACATACTTAAACTACAGAGACTCTACGCTAAAAGGCTCTATTTACGCTAAAAGGCTCTATATTTTACTACGCTAAAAGGCTCTATATTTTACTACGCTGTAAGGCTCTATATTTTACTACGCTAAAAAGCTCCGCTAAAAGGCCACTATTCTTTAAGCAAATAAATAATCTAAACTAAATAAAAACAACAAACATATGAACATAACATTCACGAAATTACATATAAAACAGTAAAAGATATTTGTGAACAATTCATTAACAATAAAAATAATTTCTCAAGTTTTAACTATTTTATTAAAACACTAATAATTTAATCCGGATAAAAATTACATACAAATTTAATCGCAAACATAACACAGATCAACGTGAAAACACATTCAAGAAAACAAATATGCATATGCTCTACGAGCTTCGACATAATCTAAATCGGAATACCTAGATTTATGTTTTTTGAAATATCGAAAATTTGAAATTTTGACTCCGAAAGAAGGAATCCAAGGCTTGGGTTGTATGCGGGACCTACGCTCTTCACTTTTTGTGTGACGGGTGGGGCCCAAGAAATTTTTTTAATCGAAAGGGGGGACCAACAGAAATGGTGGGGTTATTTTTTTTTAAATGTCGACTGGTTATGTCGTGGGGAAGAAGGAGGAGTTATATTTTTTTTATAGGAAAACGCAGTATAATACTACGTTTTCCTTAAACGTAGTACTATACTGCGTTTTCCTATAAAAAAATTAATTTTTTAGTAAAACGTAGTATAATACTGCGTTTTACTTTAACGGCTAATTTTTCGTTAAAATAAAATGTAGTATTATACTGCATTTTATGTAGAAAAATAACTTTTTTTTAATTGTATGAACGTATTTTATGTCCAAAAATCCATCATTTCAGTTTCGGACTCATGTAAAACTTAGTTGGTTAGGCTTGTTTTTCCCCTAAAGACAAAAGGAGCAGTAATTAAGTTGGTCCACCCCGGTAGTAGAATACAACGGTTAGATTTATTTGTGTTAGCAGACTGAATGTGGATATGTACATTGGATATTGTTTGAGAGATTTGCAATTACTAGTTGAACTTGGCCAATATAGCGTAACTTATTCATCATGTTGTTCTTGCATACATCCAAGGAGTTAAAATTCAACAGGGGAATATATAATCAGAAATTTTGGAGTCCATATATAGGGTCCCCAATTACGTATTGAAGAGTTACTTGACGCTAGATGCTAAATAAGTACATATAAGCAGTGTTGTATTTGAATGTATGCTGCGTCTGGACAACATTGTTTCGTCTCCATATAGGTTTGGATTTATAGAGGTAATTTTTACACGAAAACAGTTTGAACATTAAATTTTTTAACATAAATATCTAATCTAATAATAATAAAAGAATAGACAAGGTAGACAGAAAAAACTAAATATATCTCAATTTATATGACACATTTGGCTTTTCAAAATTCAAACATCTTAATTTTGACGTTCATTTGGACATATCATTTTTTAATTTTTCGAAATAAAATTAATATATTTGAAAACTATGTAAAAATGATATAAGCCGCAATAATTAATAATTCAAAATATTTAAAAGACATACAAAACATTCGGCCAAATAATAATTCATTTAAGTAACGAAATCCGAACACCTTTACATAAATTGGGACGGAAAACTAATACTGTATGATGCTTGATATCAGGATTATCAACAAATCAAAAACATAAAGAGGCTATCATTACCGATATACTCTATCCGATAAAACGGACACTCTTTCCGCTCGTGGAATGTTCATATAAGGTTGAACCATTTAAATAAAAGATCTCCTACCTCCAACAATGCAAGTACTTGAAATAAGATATTACTCCCTCCGGTCCAAAATAAGTGATTTTTTGGCCTTTTTCTTGTGGTCCAAAATAAGTGATTTTTCCAGATTTCAAGAATGAATTAATTATTTTTTTCCTATATTGTCCTTGAAGTAAATAGTGATGAAATATGTGTTAGGAGTGTTTATGTGAGATAGTAAAGATTAATATGATCAATGCTATTGCTAATTAATACTAAAATGCGGATTTCTTAATTTGTGTGAAAACGTCCAAAAATCACTTATTTTGGACCGGAAGGAGTAGTATTAAGTATTACGTAATATATATTATTCTAATTTGCTATAAACACGCTTCAGTTAGCTAAAGTCTAACCACATTTTTACATTTCTAATTATGCTATTAAACGAAGGGTAAGAGCCACATAAAAAGGAAAGAGTAGCATAAAGGCTAAAAATCAGATTGAATTTAATGAAAACAATATCATTTCCATTTAAATGATATGGAATTCACTAAACCTTTTTGCATTCTGTTTGTTATCTTATAAGTAGGTAATAAGGCACAAAGTGACTAAAAGTTTTCACTAAGCACTGTTGAAGAATATAAGCTCTGATTGGACAATTTTGCATCACAAATTAAATATTCATAGCAGTGTCAAAAGCCCCATAAATTCAAAACTATTACTATCAAATTTTCTTTTTCATTATGAGCGCAATTACTGAAGGGCAAAAAAGAAAAAAGTGGTCTCATATGGTTTTCATCTTAATCCATATTAGCGTAATTGTCAATTGAAAGAAGTCCAGGGGTAGGAACGTAAAATCACGAAACAATATCACAGACTCCGAGGAGTCGAGAATGTCTTTCTTATATTTTGTCCTAGTCTTGAGCATTTCTGTTCCACATGTAGTACCGAGGGGGTTAATGCTATATATATGTGTGCGCAGTTTATTCTTCGTCATCTTTAGAAGACACAAAACAGTAGAAACTAAGAGAGGAAATGAAGGCCCTAATGTCATTACGTCAGCAGAATTCAATAGCGTATTGTGTTAAGGAGAAAAAACCATGTATTGGTTGGGTGAACAGGTATTTTAAGGATTGCCTTTGCAACCTAAGTGATGAGTTCTCCTTTGCTTTTGGTCTTGTCAGCCTCTCCTGTTGGGCTGTCGCTGAAATCCCACAAATCATCACCAACTTCAGAACTAAATCCAGCCATGGCGTTTCACTTCTTTTCCTTCTTGGTTGGGTTGGCGGGTTAGTTTCTTTTACCTTTCATTTACCATTTTCTTCAATTTTCACAGTATTTATTGGACGTGCTATAACCTAGGAACATTCCAAACTTATGGAGTGACATGAACAGAAAATTCATTCAATCGATTGTGACTTGCTTGTAATTGAATTTTAGTTGTTATTATTTAATCAGAGTGCTATAGGATTTTTCTTTCCTTCAATAGGACCTCTTAATTTTACCATTCTAATTACAAATGTATATACGTTCGTTATGTTCGATGCAGTGATATATTCAATCTAGCAGGTTGCCTTCTTGAGCCTGCAACGGTGAGCATAATTAAAACTTTAAATATAATCATGAAGTTAATTAAACCACTTTGGTTTCTGTCATCGAATTGCGCGCCGTTGATGTCTCTGATTTTTTGATTTCTTTCTATCTTCATGCAGTTGCCGACCCAACTGTACACAGCTGTGGTAATACAAATGCTCATCCAATATTCCCATCTTTTTTCCTAGTTGAGAGCTGATTTCTGTTTACTATACTAATAATTTTTTTCTTAATTTATTTTATTGGATCTGCTATGGAACAGCTCTACACAACAACTACTATAATACTAGTGCTGCAAAGCTTGTACTATGATTATTTCTATAGGTGCTGGAAACAGAGAGATGATGACTCTGGTCAAGAGGTACAAATTAACGTTTCCAAGTCTGTGATGTGCTATTTCAATGAAACAATAAGCGCTTATAAAAAGATTATTTGATTAACTTAATTGATTAGGTTGAAGAAGTGAAGAAGCCTTTGAGACCACAAAAACCAACAGATTCAGGGATTCCAATACCCAAAGGCATAGGAGTATCTGCTTCACGCCGCATGGACTTCTATTTCACGTGAGTCTCTGCTTTTTCTCCATTTGTTTACTTTGAGATTTTACAACGAGCACTTGCCCCGTGTAGCTGGTGTATATATCAAAACAATACTTACACGAAATGTGTCGTTTACGTAAAATTTATTGCACTTAATTATGATTAATTCATTAGTAAATAGTTTCTACCTCAATATTACTTTATGTTAATATGAATTTGATGTATACCTATTTCGGATTACCAATCCACACATTTTAATAAAATGTCTGTAATTAGCTTTGATATACTTATTAGACCAAGCTACCAACACGGAATGTGATCGTATGGTAGATGAGATTCCTCCACCCTTAATCAAAGGTCTCGGATCCAAGTCCGCGGAATAGAGGAATTTATAGTGGGGAGCGCTTATTGCGCGAATTCAAACTATTTGGACAAATGAATTTCAGATATCATTAGACAAAACAAAAGAAGATTAGACGACTAAGTGGTTGCTAAGAATATTTATTTGAGAGCAGGTCTGCGAGATCATTGGCCGGCAGTGCAACCCCGCCATTTAGGTCCAATCTAAGGCCTATTGCAAGTGGACCGTCAGCAGTGGGGCTTAACCACAATTACTCTTCAGATGAGGACACAGTTGATGCACCACTAAATATTTCCGTTAGCCAACCCAAGCCTATCCCACGATCTGTAAGTGAATCCCTTCATCCTATTAATTTAATCTCTTAGTGGAGGTATAATGTGCAAAACAGAAGTTTACTGCTCTCGCAACTTGCTCATAAAAACTGTTTACTAGCTATATATGTACTGCAAAAACTGCTACACCAGTATTCTAAAAGCATCCTTTGTTCCCGTCCGATGATGCCCAATGGCAACTTGAGGAGTTCCAANTTTAGCAAGAGGGCTCAGCTTATTTACGTTGATAGTGTAAAAGAATCTTTACAGTGTAGGTCAATGTTTAAAAGATAATTACATGCAATGTCCATAATAAGTGAATTAGTTTTTTTTTTTTCTTAAGCTGAGATAGTAAATTTCAATGGTAAAATATTTCCAGGCAGGTTATGGAGCGTTCTTAGCCACATCGTCGGGAATGCCTCATCAGACAAAGGCTTTAATTGTTGGGTTTGGTGGAAGAAAACTATTACAAGTATGCTCCTTCAGTAATTGCACCATGAGATCCTGACAATGACAAGGTTATTCATGGCGTAATTCGTGATAAATTCCTTCTTTTGGCAGGAGCACGGGACGGAACACAGTGCGCTTGGCCAAGTTTTGGGGTGGATGATGGCTGCTGTTTATATGGGTGGCCGGCTACCTCAAATTTGGTTAAACGTAAGTCATTAATTTCAGATTATAACTTAACAAAATGCTAATTACAGTTAATGTTGAATCCTAGTTTCGTTTAATGGAGTTTGACGCCAAAGTCACTGAACATGTTTCTTTGCTTGACAGATTAAACGAGGGAATGTCGAGGTATTCCACAGAATTAATTCTCTTCTGAATTGTTTTTACTCTGTACAAGGCATAACTTGCATCTTGCACATTACTGCTGAAGTCTAACGTGCTTTCTTTTACACAATGCACAGGGTTTAAATCCTCTCATGTTCGTCTTTGCACTCATCGCCAATGTCACTTACGTAGGGAGGTAGCTAATTCTCCCATTATTTACTCTGTATAGTAAGCACTTCTGTTAGAATTAAAGTTTTGTGAGGTAAAATATTTTACTCAATCAGCTCAGTTAAAAAATAATTTTCATGTAATTTTATTTAATAAGCATTGATGGGTAAACTAAGTAATTCGCTATAAAAGGCTAAATTACACGGATGGTGTAAAGATAATTTGCACTATTTGTGCATATAACTTAAATCCATCCCTGTAAATTCATCATTAAATTGTATCCTATACTATGCTCCATGCTCCTAATTCACTAATTATGTTTACATGATGCAGTATACTACTTAGGTCAACAGAATGGAGTAAGATTAAGGCCAATATGCCTTGGTTGTTGGATGCTGTTGTCTGCGTTGTGCTAGATTTATTTGTATCCTCCTATTCCTCTTAGTATTCTTTTTAGAAGCATGCATTTATCTATTATTTTCGTATTCACTACTAATTTATTCGTTCTTCCCGAATTGCCTTGCCTTAACACAACTTTAGATCATATTACAATATGTGTACTACAAATACTTCCGAAAGCAGTCCTCCACTTCCAATGGCAGAGATTATGAGGGAGCCTACAAAGAAGCGAATAAATATTGAAGGAAAATTACAAACACCGTGAGTTGCTGCTCTATTATATAGATGTGAAGTTGTGGAACCAAATCTCTAAAATACCGAAGACGTTTGCGGCTATTTCTCCTTCTAATCGACTCTTAACATCCCTTCTTTATTCCCGC